AGGAAACTTGTTACCATGGCTCAAGCTGGCCATATATTTGATATAGTTACAAGAGTACATATTCTAATATTATATGTAAATTAGTTAATTGAATTTTGGACATGGTGCTTCCATAGATTCCTGTATTAAATTGCACTTTGGTTATAAATTTCACTGAGCAAGAAAGAATAGGCTGGATTGATATGTTTTTACTTATGGTTTTATTTGAACTTAACAACACTGCAAAACACCAGTGTACTAACAATGGAATCATTTTCAGGAGCATTTATTTTCAATTTTAATACTGATTTTAACTTGCCCTCACTATTTCCCATTCCATCTTAGGAACAATTTTAAAGATTTTTAGTTTAAAACATTTCAAATTAAGCTACAATTATTACCAGAATGTGAAGAAACAGTTTTGACATTACATCAAAGATGTATATGTATTGTTTTGCAGAGATACTCTACATGGACAAAAGTATTGAGACATGTACATTTACACCGACGCGGTACACCATTCTGAATCCATATGCATTAATATAGAGTTGGTCCCCCTTTGCATTCATAACAGCTTCCACTCTTCTGCAAAGGCTTTCTACAAAATTTTGGAGTGTGTCTGTGGAAATTTTGGAAATTTTAATAACAAAATGGCTGTTGCATCAAATAGCGATGATTTATGAGCAAGTTTTGCTCAGGAGCTAACAAGGAGTCACTTGAGCTAAAACAGTAATGGAATGGCCCTTAAAGAATCAATATGTAAGATAATGCAACCTGTCAAAGTCATACTCCACCCAGTCCCTCCTCTTCTCTCTTCACAACTCCCCATTTCCTTACCAGTCTAGAAGAAACATTGCAAGTTCAACTCTCAGTTGATCATGGAATATCTAGGAGGGAAGACGTTTCGCAAACTGACTTGTTGCAATGGTGGCATCTTATTACAGTATCACGTTCAATTCTGTGAGCTCTTTCAAATGACTCATTCTTTCTGAAATGTTTGGAAAGGCAGACTGCATGGCTAGGTGCTTGATTTTATTCACTTGTGGCAATGGAACTGACTGATGGAACGGCCTTTCCTGTCTCGTAATACCATGTTGTACCTCAAGAGGTGATAGAGAATCACTGTAGTGTTTAGTCTGCCATCAATCCAATCTGAATTATTGTGGAGAAAACATTTTCTACCAGAAAGACTCCAGAGACGAACATGAAAAAAGAAAAAAAAAATCTTTGACGGAGGGACCTTTTCCCGTCCAGCTGGACGAAGATGACTAGGGCAAAACGGGATTCTTGCAAAAGCTACAAAAATGTAAAAACTTATAATGACAATAAGAGCAGTATTCATTATATTTATAGAACAAAAAGTTTCCATTAAAACTAACAAAGGGGCAGCCAAGCTTATCACTTACAATTTCAGCACCATGGACAGCGGGCACAGCTGCAGGAGCATAGGTTCTAGGACAGAGGGCAGAGGAGTGACTATGAGAACTCCAAACAGCACAAGCCAGCACCGCCAAAGTGGTGAACCAGCAATACAGTGTCCATGACAGACCAGTCCAATCTGGAGTTGAAGAGGGAAATGTACGAGGCTGCCTTAGCTGAAAAAGCCTTGTGATACTCATAAAAAAGCATACCGCCTAGTGCTGGCTAAAGTCCACCATCATGGACAAATACAGGTTCAGCTTCTCCCCACGTTCAGGATAGACTCAGCACAAAATGTCCCTATAGACGCCAAATGCAACAACAAACTCCCCAAAAGAGAGGTTGCGCTGAAGCCGAGGATCGGACGTTTTATTGGAAACATTACCACAATCAAACATTTACCGATTTATAGCTGGAAAGAGGAGAAGCAGAAAAACCAAATTAATGTCCTTACCCTGAAGGATATCAGACCACATGTGAAACTAAACAGTGACCACCGCAGGGGGAAGGAAAGGCCAACCCAAGGCCTGCACAGGCACAGCGGTGGAGAGACTGAAGGAAGGCAGGGTCGAGACAGCAGAGGCATGAGGAAGCAACGCAGCAGGAGCCACAGAAGGAGCAGAAGCCAGGGCAGACGCAGCAAAGGAGGCAGAGGGGCCAGGGAGGGTCAAAGAGATCCTGATTGACTTGAATCAGTTGGAGATCCAGGGCAGTCGGAACCTGAGAGACCAGCGGCAGGGAGCGTGGAAGGGTGGGGAGACCTGAAGGACCTCTGTGCCTGGTGAGGAGAGGAGGACTTTGCAATGCTTCCTTCCAGCTTTTGTGGGCTGTGTAGGTACCATGGAAACAGCAAGAGCAACCCTGTCAATAGAAACGAGAGGGCAGCCCAAAGTATTAACAGCCAGGAGGAGGATCATTCCTCGACATTCCTCACTGCTAACTGGAATACCGTGATCACCCAGAAGCTCCTAAATCCTCACGAACGGCCAAGGAGACCAGGGTGATTCCCGGACGTGAATACGAGCACTCCTGAGTGTAGATGTTGGCGGAGACAGAGAAGAGTCATATAAAGGGCAGAGGTAATATAGAGCCCTGGGAACATAGTTATACAATGTGAGGAGCAGAGGTTCAGTGAATTAGAGAAGGTAATTCAGTCTAGAATTTTTACTGTCAGACTACGGGTTTCATAGTCATACTGCCTTCTAATCTCCATGGGCAATTTGCTCTAAGTAAAAGTACACAGCCGCCTAAGGCCCCCATGAGCCAAGGGCCCCATGAAAATGCAAATTAGATATACTGTATGTGTTGATGTTAACTAACCTACTCTGAAACATGTATACATTTCACAAATAGCTTTTATTTGTGATCATTTTCTGTAATTTCAGTGTAAGCCTGGGTCCTGTTCATAATAGACTACTCCATGTTTTTACACAATGACACAACTGCGTAAAGACAGACTGATAAGAACAAGGCCATTAGGCAGTAATCTACATAATGGAGAGGAGGTTCTTCAGTGTGATTTTCTGGGTGTTAAAGAGAGAATTAAATAAAGTGTAATATTCAAGTTCAGCAGAGAAACAAAAACAAAGCACAATTTTGTTGCTATACACTCCCAAAACTAACATATAATGCTATTACCTGTTGCAAGTTACTAATTTCTTCTTTCAAAATATAATGATAATGTTACTTGTTACTTCCTGAATAACCTCATAATTCATTATTTCTATGTTTGTCTTTACCAAATTATCTCTCTGTACTGGCAGATAATTTTCCTTGTTTCAAGCATTATTTCTTAAAACAATTAAATTATGTGGCAGTATAGTGAGATCCTTTCATTTAATAAAATGTGTCAATTAAACACTGTCTAGAAAAAAGTTATATAATCTTAATCTCAGAATGAGAAATTTTAGACATACTGACTAGATTTAAGATGTGGATGTATATAGATATCATTGTTCGCAGCGTAGATGCTGGTACCACTCAGGAGCCCAGTTTCTTAGCTAATTTAAAAATGTGTAACCAGAGGGTCCCATTTCTGTTGTTTGCCCAGAGGCCCACAATAACTAAATCTGCCCCTGATAATCACAGATCTCATTGGTAACCAATTAAATTACAGAGCCTCCCCAAGTGAAACTAATCCAGCTCAAGCAGGGCTTTAGATTTTGTAATTAGCAGAATAAAAGTGTTCAATTTAAAAGGATGTTGTTCTTTTTATGCTCTTTTCTATGTGGCTAATTGAAGCTTACACTCCTAAAAGAGATGGCTCGTCAAGGGTTCTTGAGTAAAGATAATGGTTCCATGAAGAACCACGAACACTTAAAGGACCATTCACATGATTTAAGTGTTCTTTGCATGGTGGAATGGTTCTTCAGATTAATAGACAGTGTTGTATATGGTTCTACATAAAACTTTTTTGAAATGGTTCTATATAGCACACAGGGTTCTGCTATTGTTATGATGTCAAGCTTGTAACAATAGAAGAACTCTTTTTGGTGCTGTATTAAACCATTTCCAATAATGTGCTATATAAAACCATACACAACACATTCTTCATCGATCTGAAGGACCATTTCACCATGCAAAGAAGCTTTTAAGTATGAAGTGATTCTATGTAAAACTCATGGTTCTAAATAAAACTTTTTCCTTTACGAAAGAACCCTTGAAGAACCATCTTTTTTTAAGAGTATGTGGAAAGTAACTTACGTGCCACATCTTACTTTTGAGGTTTGACAATTTTTTTTTTCCAGTGGCTAATTCTGATCTAACCTGCCACCTTTCAAAGGAATTTGCTGTTCATTTATGATTTGAAATACATCCCCCCCGAAACAAGCCTGACAAAACAAACAAAAAATTTTTCAGACTGACCATTCAGAATCAGAAACACTCTGCTGGACACTGTAAAGTGAACTCATTGCGGGCTATTAAAGGAACAGCCTTTCATTAAAGGGCAACACGTTTATTTAAAACTAAATACACCGCTTACGCACACATACGAGCGTTGTGTGTGCGCGTGTGCGCGTGTGTTTCTCGCTTTTCTCCTACTCGCACCTACCCACACTCGGGTCTCTCTCCTCCTCTGTCAGCATTACGCATTCGGTGAGATGTTCAGCGTTAGTGTTTTTCCCACCCGTATTCCGACGGGCCCCGCCTCCCTGCGCTCAGGATTGGCTGGTTCGTTTTCGCCTCTCGCGCTGGCATTGCGGGTTGTTTGTGAGGATGGACTGCTAGCCAATCCTCTCGCGCTGGGGGCGGGGCTGGTCTGAATGCGGGTGGGAAACAATAACGCGCCACAGAGCGCTCGAGCGCACAACGAGCGAGTGCCGCCGAGCGAAGGGATGCAGGCGTGTGGAGTTCAGCTTCACCTGTAACTCAAGCGAAGCCGTTTTTCACGAGTGGAGAGCGACACAAAGACGGCGCGCTGTCTCGTCGGAGAGCCGAATATTTGATATCCGAACGTTCGACAGTCGAAGTGTTAACCAAACATGCCAACAGTGGCGCATGGCGCTGGTCCACTCGTGGCGAGCGAGCCTCGCTCCACTTCATGAGCACCGTTCCAGTCCAACGTTGAAGGCGCGCGAAGAGGACGCGGAGGTGAGGAGAGGATGAAAAGCGCGGGGCTGCTGCTCGGCTACTTTCTGATGAAAGTTCTGGTGTGCGACGCGGGCGGAGAGCCTGGCAAGAGTCCGGACGGTCCGCTTATGGCTTCGGGCTCCAACGAGTCCAGGGACGGGGGGAACGGATCGCCCGACGAGCCGCACATTGAGGACAGGTGCCGCGGCTATTACGACGTGATGGGTCAGTGGGACCCGCCGTTCGTGTGCCGCACGGGCAGCTACGTGTACTGCTGCGGCACCTGTGGCTTCCGCTTCTGCTGCGAGTTCAAAACCTCGCGGCTCGACCAGACCACCTGCAAGAACTACGACACCCCGCCGTGGTCCATGACGGGCAGACCGCCGCCCAAAAAGAACGACCCCACGCACGACCCCACCAAGGATAAAACCAACATGATCGTCTATGTCATATGTGGAGTAGTCGCTATCATGGCCCTGGTTGGAATTTTCACCAAACTCGGGCTGGAGAAGGCGCATCGACCTCACAGGGAAAACATGTCCAGGTACGTGTGACCTAAAAACAGCGCACTCTGTCTTATGCTTTACCTCAGGCTGTAGTGGAACAAGAAAGAAAGGACACAGTGCTTGGCTACCTGCAGGTGTCCAAGAGTGTTGAAAAAGGTGGGGGGCTTGGTTGGGTCAGAATTGGTCCACCATCCTTGGAATTCTTTTCACTGATGGAATACACTTGCACTGCACGAGCCACTACAGTAAAAGACAGCACGTCAGTCATTTCTGCTCTGAGGTTGTGTATATCGGTGTCAAATCGAGTAACCTAGATCTTAATTGGCACATGAAGTTGCCCTGAGCCTCAGCATATGTGTGTCAGCATCTGAACTTTTTCCCCAATTACACAAATAGGTCATTGCTTGAGATGTAAACAGAGATGGCGAGGATACACACACACACACACACACACACACACATGCACATACACACACACACACACATGCACACACACTGTGGCGAATGCAGCATAGCCACTGGCCTGTCAACATCTGCAGCTAAATCAAACATTAAATTTGTTCCGATAGCAGATGGGTTCAAATCTAATTTTCAGGAAAGTTTGGCATGAAAACCTGCTTGAGATTAGGGATGCACCGATATGGGAATTGTAGGCTGATGCTGATATTTTTCATTTTGATTTTGAAAAGTCTATGTCCCCCATTTTGAAAAATGTGTATTGACAGTCACCCAAGTATATTTTGTCCCATTTTGAAAAATTCCAGTGGTGTTCCATGTAATAAAGTCCACATTTTTTTGTTATATGTAAACAAGGGCACACTTTGTGTAATGAGATGCAATACCAGCTTCTTGTGTTTCAGTTCTAAACCATAAATGCCTAATTTGAATATGCAATTAAATAAAAAGAATACCGAGATGAGTTTGGAAATCTGTGTATACTATTATACCTCCTCAAACCACCCAAACTCTCCCCCACCGATGCTCCCCCAAGATTCATTTCAGCCCTGTGTAGAAATTGGGACTATAATCACCTTGACTGGCCCAAGAGAAATGTAACATTAATTTCTGTAACAAATGCAGTAAAGTGACAGCAGACATTTTAGCGCAGTAAGCCAGTGTTGCCTGAACATTCCGCTTATATAGAGTAGAATAAATACATTAAATACATAATCAAATAATGGTTTCAAATACTGGTCAAATCTAAACGTCTGTCTAATTTCAGTATTTTCGTTTTAAACAAAGATCTGCTGATACGATATGATACCTCTATCATTGTACATCCCTTGTTGAGAGTCCATACCAAACAGTAGAAAGAGGTGGAAAAGTCTTCAGTTCCACAATGACGACAGCTGGATCTCAAGGTCATTTAGTCTGAGTTTTAATGTCTGCTTTTACTTTAGCCAGTCTTCCCAGGTATGAGCTTGTCATCATATACAATCTGCAGTACCCTCTCCCTCAACTAAGGTACCTATTTCTTAGCAGTTTTTAGCCTTTTAAATCAGAACTGCACTTTTAATGGTTCACCTATTCTAGATTTTATCATTTTAATTATTTTCCGACACTCTGAGGTTTCTCACGTCCCCTTGTGAGCATGTGCTATGATTAATACACACTGTGTCATGCATGGCTTGTCATTTCAGAGGCACTGCTGTGCTTATGAGAGTGCAGCACCCTACTGTTCAGCAGACATCTATCACGCTCATGAAAGGAGACTTCAAAATCTGACAGGGCTTTACAACAGTGCCATTAAAAACACATTGGGAAAGCAGTGCAATGACTGATCTCCAATGCGTCGAACCCCAAAGCCATCAAAGCAGCAGATTTACAGCTCAGTGCAATGAAAGTTGTGCGTGTCTCCACAGAGCACTGGCGCAGGTGATGCGGCAGACGGCTCCGGGAGAGCTCCTAGAGCGCGAGGAGAGTCTGGCTGTGCATGGACAGCCCTACGAGAGCATGCAGGCCAGGACCACGGCAAACAACCTGCGTGAGTACCAGCACTGTCTCTTTCTTTGCGCTTTTGATCCATAGTTCTGCGGAAAAACATGTACTCAGTTTCTTTCCCGTAGCTTAAATGTAGTTGATCAGCCATGTTTGATGTGTGAAGTTTGCTTCTTTAGATTTGTGCTGGAGCTACGAGGCTAATGTAACTGACAAGGAATGGAAGCTTATATCACGCCAAAATTGGCACTGTGCAAACTGGATGCGTAAACCATTATAGCTTTGCCTCAAACCAGCTTGAGTTTTAAGTAATCTCAAATAGCTTCTACTGTCTTCGGCTATGCTGATGGCAGCATTTCATACAATTTAATAAACCACTCCCCCTTGTCTGCACAGTGCTTACTAATGAGTTATAAGCTTCCATTAATAGTTAGCTACATTAGCCTCATACCTCCAGAGTAAAACTAAAGAAGGGAACTTTGGTCATCAAACACGTCTTGGCTGATTGACTACATATAGGAGAAAGTTGTGTACACTTGAATTTCCACCGAACTGTCGCCTTCTGAGCCGTTCTCCATCCATGCTGCTTGGAGGACACTCGCCACTTTGAGTAACCAATAGAAGCAGCTGGAGCTTATTCACAGCGGAGAGGCAGCTGCGAGGTCCCATGGCTATTCAGGAGGTGCGCAGATCCTAGGCTGCTTGACTTGGCCCTCGCTCAGGGGGAAGTTGTTACAGCGGGCCATTTTTGGCATGTCCGGTGGGCTGCGGCACCACTTACATCTACAGTGATCATTTAACACGCTGGGGTGGTAATTACCACGGGCTCAGCGGCTGACTAATACACACAGCGATGCTCTCTCGGTCTCGCTTTCTCCCTCTCTCTCTCTTTCACAAACACACTCAGAAGCATGCTGGCAAATGCATGCGTAAGCTGGACTCTAATCACCGTGATAACAAGCTGCTTGTGGTGCTGATGCTTCCACTGTACACACCTCCCGAGTGTTCCCCATCAACCCAGCCAGAAAGGTTTAAACGCTGCAGGCAGGTTATGCGTGGTGGTTTATATGGATAAATATTAGGCCTCAGTGGTTAAAAGTGCTGTTCTGTAAACTTCAGTCCTTCTGTACGAACACAGTCTTGTGGCATGTGTCTGTGTTACCATGGCGCTAGCGGATTTCCCTCAGCTGAGTTTTCTCATTGCATACAGGATGGGCAAATCAGTACGCTTGACTGACTATGCCTAAATGTAATATTCTAATGATTACCAGCTGCCTCTGTCACTGCTGCCTTCCTTGAGTGCCTTGTAAAGAAGCTGTGTTGGTCTTGAGCTGGAATGACTGCAGTAGATATCATATGCCTTTGTGTTTGTTCATGCCTGCTCTGGCTAGGTGTGACCGGAGTATTGGAAATGGAATGATCATTGGAGATGTCTTGATGAAGAGGCTTGGACGTTGACATTATTGAACTGCAGCATGTCCAATGTGTCAGTCTTTGGCTAAGTGAAACACACTGTCCATAAGTTTGTAGACCACTGCTCATCCAATCTTTCTTTACTCTTCTGTGTAGGCTTTACGCCAGATGTTGGAACATTGCTGTCAGGATCTGATTGCATTCAGCCACAAGTACATTAATGAGATCAGGTACTGATGGTGGATGATTAGCTCTGGATCACAAAAGCCATTCAGACTGATCCCCAAGGTATTCAGTGGTGCTCCATCACTCCAGAGAACGCCATTGCTAAGGAGCTTTATACTTCTCAGGCTGATGTTTAGCATTGGGCTTGGTTACCTTAAGCTCAAGTGCGGCTGCTCCAGAGCATTTCATTTTGTTGGTTGTCTTTCTAGTAAGCGGCCAAATAAACATAATTAGTAGTTGGGGGGGGGCTCACTGGTGGGTGGTGCCAGGAAATACCTCAGAAAAACTCATGGAAGCGGCTCAGCAACAACTAACAGCTATACCCACCACATTTGATTTTCACTGTCACTCCAACACCAGTCACTCAACTTTGCTCTTGGATGTGAGTCTTTATCCTCTAAGTGAGTGTTATTTTAGCATCCGTTAGCTGGAACTGAGCCTGTGCTGTGGTGTGTGGCACTTTGGCTTGCTAGCTAAGCTTTTGTTAGTTTGTCTACACTTGTGTCAGTGGAGCACCAGTTAGTTGAAATGAAACTTGTTCTGTGGTGTGTGGCACTGTTTGGATCTACAGACAGATTGCTAATCTGTTGTTAAGTTAGTTAGTTGCTGGACCTCACGGCCTCAGATTTGAGTCATCATCTAAAATTATATCAGTGGTGTGTTAGTTACAGCTAGAATCTAACCTATTTTGTGGTAAGCAAAGCTAAGCTGTGGTAAGTAAAGTTATCATACTAGGTCATGCTAACCAGCTCCTCCCTCCTAGTTAGCAGCACTGTTTAGTTTGTTGTTGGAAAGATGGTTTGACATTTATGGAATGATTCCGACAGAGTAAGTCAGCTGAACTTTTTTTATTTGACTGTTTCCGATTTTGAAAAGTAGGATGAGATGGCAGAGAAGCGCTGTCAGTGCTTTTATGTATGTTTATGCACCCTCACCCCAAACATCCCATTGGTATTACTGTGTACTGCAGTAATATTTGGTTTGAAGGTATGAAAAAAGTGGATACCACCCAACCCTATTATTGAAATTATGCAAGCTGTGTGTACGCAATCGAAGGCCTGTGTCAGCAATCAGTGCACCATAAAATTGCTGAATTCACCAATTATAAGGGGTGTCTGGATATATAGCATAGGTAATAATACTTCAAAGGATTTTAGGCTAGCAATATTCTTGGTAAATACCTGAATTGGCTGTCTGCTGTTCTAATCTAGATTTCTAGAGGACAACAGACATACCTCACTATGTCAGATTATTGTGTTCAAAATCAAACATGTCTTGAATGTCTTGGACATCTAACCGCCTTGGATCGTTGGTTTTGAGCAGATGAAATCTGATTGCATATGTTGACAAAACCAGAAAGCATTATGCTTTGTCATTCAACAGCAGTCACAAGACAGAAAGTGCATCTCTTTATTTTTCACCCTCTGAGACTGAATGAAAGATTTTTCTGTGAAAGAAAAACAAGTTGGTCACTTAACAATAGCTGTTATGGGCATATCCAGGGAGAAGCACTCAGGCAGTGCACACCCTTGGGTTTGCGCTTGAGTGTGTATGTGTGATATGTGTATGCACACATTGATGCCTGAGAGGTGAAGGGGGGGGGGTGAGTGTTAACGGGTGGAGTGTGTGAGTGCGCTCTATCTCTGGGGGGGTGTGTTTAGGCACGGCAGAGTGCTGGAACATGCTGACCGTTTCTCGTTTTGGTGGGGGGGTAGGGTGGGGGGGGTGGTAACACACTGTCTTCTGAGGGCTCTACAATCTCACAGCATGAGGAGGTTTTGAGGGGGGTTAATTGGGGCTTTCATTATCCATTATTTTAGTCATCTACTGATTCTGATGATTATTTAAGTAATCAGTAATCAAAAATGTTTAAGAAAAGGGCAAACAAAACACTAAACAGAACAACAAATGATTTCAAAATGGTTGAAAAAGATAAACAAGGAAGCCTTTAAAAATATGAAAACGATTTGTGGCCAAAAATGCATATAAATGGGCATGTTCAACAGGTCCTGTCCTTATTGCTATTTGGCTTTTCCCCTTGGTGTTTATACATGTGTGGTTTTATGTACCAAATTTTTTACATGACTGTTTTCCAGGCTCTCTTTATCCCTTAAAATAGTCCGGTCTCCAACTCTGATGTCCAGCATATTTTGGATTTTCTTGCTCAAAACATCTGATTCAGCTCATCTGCTAATTGCCAGGTTTAGTAGGTGTTTTTTAAACAGGACATTTTCAAAACTGTGTTGGACACTGGACCTTTAGGAGCAGAGTTGAATACACCTGCCTTAGATTTAAACAGACTGTTGTTTGTTATTAGACCTTTAGGACTGAGTTGCTCTGTTCTGATTGGCCATCCTGTATTATGTCTTGTTCTGAAAGCACCCTGAAATAGGCCTGAACAATATCTAAAAATAGTGATTACAATATTTTCTAGTTTACAAATAACGATTATCAATTATATTGCCCCACCCCCCCATTCCACAACCAATAACTGCCGTAGCTTACTTTCTTTTTCTAGTATATGTTTTTTAACATTAACTGTTTTATTGAAAATCTTTAATAAAACGTACATAATAATAAAAATAATATTGAGTACCCCAACATCTTTGGAAAACTACTTCACCTATCATTTTAATGGATGTTACTACCAGAATGTACATTCATATGCTTCTTCTGGTGCAGGTTCATGGTGACTTTCGAGCTAAGACTGCAAGTGATTTCCAAAGCCGTACCTATGTGCGTAACACTAAAAAACTAAGTGTTTTCTGTTCATAGCAGTGTCACTCTGGATTTCAGAGTGGGACACTTAGGCTGCACAGAAAATACTGCAAATTTTGGAATTTACCAGAGCCTAAGGGTTTTTAAGGCCTCACAATAACCTAATGTTTTTATTTTAAGTGAATAAAACATTATGTGTACATATTCTTTAATATTATTTGTTACCTTTTTCTGATCCTGTTTTTTGGCCGTAGATGGGGATCAGTGGAACTTTTTTCCTGACAGTTCCAGGTTAGAACTAACAACTCTAGAGTAATATATCCTCTCACTTTAGCTTGGTTGTTGTACTGCAGTGAGTCACAATGAAGCAAGCTGAGGTTCCCAAGCATGTTGGCATTTATTTTTGGTTCCATGTATTTAAGTTAAATTAACTAAATTAAAATAAGTAGAAGGTGAAGGATTGTAGGTAAAGCTAGCAATATAGTGTGTAGCAGAGAGAAAGCATTTTAACATATGTCTTTCTCTCTTTCTGTCTATCTCACACAAACTGAAAAAAAACTGACTACTGGGTAGGGGTGAAACGATTATTTGACTTGGTCGACTAAAATCGATGACCGAATTAGTTGGCAACTAATTTAATAGTCGATTAGTTGGTGATGTCATCATGCACACATGTTTCTTGTGCTCACT